AAGGAAAGAAAACCACAGACCAATATCCTTGATGAACATAAATGTAAAGATCTTTTATAAAATATTAGCAAATCATATTCAATAATACATTAAGACTATATATCATGATCAAGTTGGTTTCATTCCAGACATGCAAGGGTGATTCAACATACACAAATCAATAAATGTAATTCACCATATAAATAGAATCAAGGACAAAAATTATATGATCATCTCAAAAGATGCAGAAAAAGTCTTCAACAAAATTCAGCATCCATTCATGTTATACACAATGAAGAAACTAGGGATAGAAGGAGCCTACCTAATCATCAATCATAAAGCCTATATATGACAAACCCATGGCAAACATCATATTGAATGGGGGAAAATCTAAAGCATTTCCTCTATAATCAGGAATAAGACAAAGATATCCACTCTCACTACCCCTATTCAGTACTTAAATTTTTATCTAGAGCAATTAGGCAATAGAAGGACATAAAAGGGATACAAATAGGAAAAAAGAAGTAAAATTATCACTGTTTGCAGATACTATGATCCAATACTTAAAAGATCCAAAAAACTCCACCAGAAGACTGCTAGAGCTAATAAGCAAATTCAGCAAATAACAGGATATAAAAATCAATGCATTTTTCTATTCATAAATAATTAATCCACAAAAAGGCAGGAAAACAACTCCATTCACATAGTTTCAAAAATAAATAAAATACTGAGGAATAAATATACCCAAGAAGGTAAAAGACCCCTACAATGAAAATTATAGAACAAATTGAAAAAGACATTAGAAAATGCAAGGACCTACCATGTACAAAGATATGCAAAATTATTGTTAAATTTCCTCTGTAGAATTCCTAAAGCTCAGGAAATAATGCCAAGAATTAATAAATGGGATAACATCAAATTAAAAAGCTTCTACTCGGCAATGGAAACAATTAAGAGCCTGAACAGAGAACATAGATTCAGAATGGGTGAAAATCTTTGCCAGCTATTCTTCCATCAGGATTAATATCCAAAATATATTTTAAAAACTCAAAAAACTTAACACAAAATAAAACAAATAACCCAATCAACAAATGAGCATCTAAACAAATATTTCTATTGGTCAACAGACACATGAAAAAAATGATGGAAATGCAAAACAAAAAAACTATGCTAAGATTTCAACTTATTCCAGTTAGAATGGCAATCATCAAGAAAATAAATAGTAACAAACACTGGCAAGGAAAAAGGAACTCATACACTGATGGTATGATTTTAAATTAGTATAACCATTATGGAAATCAGCATGGAGATTCCTCAAAAGACTCCAAAGGGAACCACCATATGACCTTATACCACTCCTTAATATTTATCCAAAAGAATTAAAGTCAGCATACAATAGCAATACATAAATACCCATGTTTACAGCAGTGCAATTCACAAATTATGGAACCAGCCAAGGTGCCCATCAACAGATAAATAGATAAAGAGAATGTGGCATATATACACAATGGAGTTTTACTCAATTATTTAAAAAAAATGTCATTAGCAGGAAAATGGATACAACATGAGAGGAAGACAGAATCGGAAAGTTAAGGGTCATATGTTTTCTCTCACATGTGGAAGCTAGAGGGAGAAAAAAAAAAAATCTCATGAAAACAGAAGGGATGCACACAGAGAAAGGGGACCAGGGAGAGGAGGAAGAAAGAAAGGAAAAAGGGAGGTTCTGGGAAATTAAAAGGATCAAATTATGCCATACACTGGTACGAATATATCACAATAAATTCCACTATTATATATAATTATAATGCAGCAATACATTTTTAAATAAATAATTTTTAAAAAGAATCCATGGAGTAGGAAAGATAATGCCCATGAAGCCAAGGTAGTTACATAAACAAAATACAGATGGAGAGATGGTACAGTTTAAAAAAAAAAAAAAAAAGGAGCAGGAAGGCATACCTAAATTCCAATAAATGTGACACACTGGGCAAATCCCATAGCATCTATGAACTTTGGTTTCCTGGTCTTCAACTGGAGATGAATGAAATGATTAGACGAAGTGGTTCCTCTACATGAGGATTAAAAACATTTACCCACGTGTATCTTTCCAATCCACAGGTACCAGGGACCCATTAAACTTTCAGAAATTAAAAAGGGGTCAACTTAAACATAAAAGTTAGGAATTTCCAGACTCTCCCTCAGGCATTCTTGATAGGTATGAATGGCTTTACACTCAAAGTGGTGGCCTAACTAGGGCTCCAAGAAGTCATAACCATGTGGATATCATCAGTTTTTAAATAAGTTCCATAAAAAAGGTAGGGAGCCATCTTCTACATGATCACCAGGGTCTCCTAAAGATCTGTGATTTCCTGGTTCTAATAATGCAGACTTTCATGCACTGATACAGTCACGGGGCAAGCTCCTGGAGTTACTTTTCATAAAGAAGAAAGGCTTGGATTGCTGCATGGACACACTCATGTCCTGTGAAGCGTTTCAAAAGTTGCAGCTTGTGTGCTTAAAACATACTAAGATTACTATCCACACTGGACTTACTTATGTAGAATCTATTGAAAGATCCTTAAAGGAGCAGAGATAGTAATTTCTATAATTATGCATGTTTTTCGGTGCTTCATTCAACAATCTTGGAAAAATGCTTCGCATGGATAAATGGGTCATATAAAAATTAAAGTAAGTTCTAGACAAATAATCCAACCAAACATAGGGGTATAAATTCTGAAAACTCCTTAGTTAACTAGCTCAGAAAAGGCTTATACAATGAATAGAATGTGGATTGGTCTTAAATGGCAAGTGAGAGCCACAAGACTTAAGAAGGGTGCCTGTCAAGCAAAATAAAAATTGAGAATCCAAGGATATGGAGAAAAAACACACGTACCAAATCAAAGCGTTGGGTTAATGAATGAAGACAGATAGCTCAGTCCTCATAAAACATAAACTCAAATGTGTTGCTCTATTTCTAGTCAAATTCTGATCAATGGAATAAAAACAGAAAAAAGTCCTTTAGAAAAAATAAGTCCATCAATTTATAACAGGACAAATTTTACTGGATTATTCAATTAAGAAAAAAAATCTAAAATTAACGGCTGTAAAATCAAGAGATCTCTAAGTACGTGCAAAATTTTGAATATGTATATTCTTAGGACAAGCAAACTCATCACTTTCTTCAGATTCTAAATGAGATCAATGATCCCAAACTGGTTAAGAACCTACAGATTTAATCCAAGTTTTTTGAGTACTCATTCGTCAGAAATTTTAAAGATAATTTCTTAAGTAAAAAATGTTACCACAAGGGTTGGGGTTGTGGCTCAGCAGTAGAGCACTCGTCTACACGTGCAAGGCCCTGGGTTCGATCCTCAGCACTCGTCTACACGTGCAAGGCCCTGGGTTCGATCCTCAGCATCACATAAAAAATAAATAAAATAAAGGTATTGTGTCCAACTACTTCTAAAAAATAAATATTTTTTTTAAAAAGTTACAACAGAAATGACACTATATTTTTAGCTACTTTTCTAGGACTTTGTATAATTTGTAGTACTTAGTGCAAAACATGGATATATAAAATTATAATAAATGAAAGAAGAAAAGTTTGGATTTGACAACTAAAACTTCAACCATATCATATTGCATACTGAGAAGCAGGGTGTTTCATATAAGCAACATCTAAAAGACAGTACATCCATTTAAAGTCATTAGTCTGAGCAAAATATTTCCCACAGGCTACCCATGAAAGGCCAATAAACCAAACTGATAGTACAATATTGCCCTCTACTGGATTTAACTAGTAAGAATTAAGTCTCTAAAGCATTTAAGGACTTAATGGAATGCTCTTTTCCCACAAATGTGAATTTAGCCTAATATTAGCATAAGTCTGTGACATTCATTCTATAGTAATTTTTGTGTTGTGCTATGGTGTAGAAGTTTAGGGAAATCAACCATGAGTACACAAGGTAACAAAAAAAAATTATACATTTTTTTCTACATAGGATTTTGGAGTTCAAAAAACTTAACATATATCTCTACAGAATAGTTTCTGTATAATTCCTTATAGATAAAAATTATTTCCCTCTCGATTCTATCCCAACAAGGAAAGAGAGAATTTATTGGGGGAAGGGGTGCTGGGAATTAATCTCAATGGCACTCAACAACTGAGCCACATCTCTAGCCCTATTTTGTATTTTCTTTAGAGACAGGGTCTCACCAAGTTGTTAAATGCTTTGCTTTTGCTGAGGCTGGCTTTGAACTCTCAATCCTCCTACCTCAGCCTCCTGAACCACTAGGATTACAGGTGTGCACACAGCGGAAAGAGGGATTTTAAGGAAATCCACTCCTCTACTCATCCTTGTTTCTCTCTCCTTTTAATCTCCATTTGATAATGTTCAGCAACATTTCACTCTCATCATACATCTTAACATAGGTATATAACTTCTTGCCATATCATATATTACAGCTTTCCTTCTCACAAATATGGGCCTTATAAAGACTTATCCTTCCACTGTCACATTCAAAAGGTTAGCTCAAACCCAGAAAGTTACCATGACAGTCATGAGATATCTGCTTTTCTCCATTATAATTTCAACTTTATCATTTAAATTTTGTGTGCCATTATAAACTTTGGAGACACTAAGCATAAGGTCTGGATACTTTCCACACTGTTGTATTCTGTGACCTCTAAATACTGCCTCTGTTTATTTTGCTTACCATGGCTTACTTGCTGTCTTATAGTGTTTCATCAAATTATTTGCTTATTTTTCTCCTCTTAAGCAGTTTTCAGTTTAAAGCTGTCCTGACCACATCGCTTATTCCTGAGAAAACACTTTGAGGAGATGTACTCTAAATCTCCTTCCATATTCTTCCAAACTCAGTGAAAAAATAATGATAATTACACTAACTGCTGTCTTTTTCCTTAAACTTTTAAATTAATGTTTAAATGAAGATAAATAAAAACTATGGCTTATAATCAGAAATAGGATTGTTAAGAGTTTTATATTTTAAAAATATTTTACTTGGGGCTGGGGATGTGGCTCAAGCGGTGGCGCGCTCGCCTGGCATGCGTGCGGCCCGGGTTCGATCCTCAGCACCACATACAAAGATGTTGTGTCTGCCAAAAACTAAAAAAAAATAAATAAATATTAAAAAAATTCTCTCTCTCTCACTCTCTCTCACTCTCACTTAAAAAAAAAAATTTAAAAAAATATTTTACTTGAGGTCACTCCTTTCCTTGGTCCTTCTGTAAGCAGAAATAAAACAAATACTACCATATTGATAAAATTTTTGCTTTCAAATCAATATATCAGTGATCATAATTTAGTTCTTAGAAATGGAAAAAATCAAATCTTTAAATTGACTCAATTGTATATTCCACACTGAATGATGAGATAACGGCACCAATCAATTTCATGTATATTGACATGTTTATTCTATATAAAACAAGCAAGTTCTAAGTTAAAATATTTAAAAGATCTAAGCTCAAAGCCATAATATAGAATAAAGAAGTCACAGAATTTATATTCAAAATGCAAGACTATTCTGAGGACATGAATAATTAAATTGGGATATGTAAAAAATTAAATATAAATTTTATATATAATTTTATAATTTTATATAAATTAAATATAAAATTAAATATAAATTAAATTTTTATTTTTAATAAAAAATATTAAAAAGCCGGGAGCAGTGACGCAAGCCTGTAATCCCAGGAGCTCGGGATACTGGGGCAGGAAGATCGAAAGTTTAAAGCCAGTCTCAGTAAAAGCAAGGTGCTTAGCAGCTCAGTGAGATCCTGTCTCTAAATAAAAATACAAAATAGGGCTGGGATGGGGCTCAGTGGCCGAGTGCACCTGAGTTCAATTCCCAGTACTCAAAAAAAAAATATTTTAAAGAGTAATTTATTTTAAGTCTGGCTTGCACAGCATATCTGAACTCCAAAGAAGTATAAAAGATGGCAAGAAAAGAAAATAACAGCCAGGCCAGGTGGTGCATGCCCATAATTCCAGCGGCTCAGGAGGCTAAGGCAGGAGGATCGAGAGTTCAAAGCTAGTGAGACCCTGTCTCTAAATAAAATACAAAATAGGGCCTGGGATATAGCTCAGGGGTTGAGTGCCCCTGAGTTTAATCCCCGATACAACCCAAAAAATCCAGTAACAACATATAATAATAAAAGAAAATTCAAAAATGAACCATGAAACATAATTTTCTGAAGAAATATGAGACACAAAGAGTACATTGCATTTAAAGCCTTATACTTCGAAATAATGGTTATTCTTAAACGAATAGATAAAATGTTACCTAGTAACAGAAATGAAAACACTTCATACAAAGTTATAGAAACATATTAATTCTCCAATAAATGGAATAGTCAGGTTTCTGCTAAACAGTTTATTGGCTAAAATCAGTTACAAAAAGTAAGCAGAATAATTCTGTTTTTTAAGGACAGCATCTCTTATTTTTTTCAATATTTATTTTTTTAATTGTAGTTGGACACAATACCTTTATTTTAATATGGTGCTGAGGATTGAACCCAGGGCATCTCATGCCCTAAGCAAGCACTCTACTGCTGAGCCACAACCCCAGGCCAGCATCATCTTCTATTTTTAATATGAAACATAAATACCTCACAAGTATTTGATAAATATTAAATTAATATTGTTCAAATGATAAATGGATACCCATGATTTTAATGTACAAATATAAACCTTAAGAAGTTTATATTTTGTAGTAAAATACATAACCACATATGGAAAATATACTTCATATTCCTATTTTTGTTCTGCAAACACTACAACTTTTGTGAGTCACTTTGCTTTTGGAAGTCTGTTTCTCTCTACCAAAACTGGACCTGAGTTGTCTATCACTGAGAAATACTTAAACGACTGGCAAGAAAATAATTCTGTTTATAAACCTCAGGAAATCGTCATCAACCCCTTTGTTCTTCCATTTGCTAAGTTATCTTGTCATCAAGATATACTACTTAAAATTATTCTCTTCTTTCTCACTTCCCAGCTCTTATCATTCTATCCATCCTAAATAAGTCTTAATTTAATCTTTGGCCTTTTTGTGACTAACAAACATGCTCAAAGAAAGTGATATAGTATAAGATGTAATATTTTGGTGACACTTTGGGATTCTTAGGGAAAGACACTTCAAAAATGTAAATGGGTATGTTTAGAAACTCATTACAGAAATCTTTATACAATATTTAATAGTATTAACAAAGACAGGTTTTTTGCTAACAAAGAAAAAAGTTTATATATGAAGCTATTTTTCTCCTTTTCATCAATGACTATATAAGGTGCTACCTTTTTATATTTTTAGACTCCAGAGAATAAGAAAATTCATCATAATTGAAATGACCCTTACCCTAAGAATATTATAACATTCTTATATCTACCTTAAAGAATCTCTGGAGTCCAGGGTCAAATGTCTTTCTCTATTTTGCCTCACACAAACTTAATGCTCAATAAATATTTATTTTTGAATAAGGATCTTTAAAAATATAAAGTACAGGGGGGCTGTGGGTGTAGCTCTGTGATAGAGCATGTGCTTAGCATGCATAAGGCCCTGGGTTCCATCCTCAGCTTTAAAAAAAAAAAAGGCAGTCTTGGCATTAATAAACTAAATTAAATCAATAAATTCTTTTTTATTTATCTATTCAACAAATATAAAATCTTTCAATCATTCAAGAAGTACACAAAATTTGTTAAACATAATAGGGTAAGGAATATTTTCACATTCCTATTTTAAGAAATTCCTAGCATGCATTTTACATGTAGTATTATGTATGAAAAAGAACTTACCTCTCTTACAGAGAGCTGTGGTGGGAAGGAGACTGAAAATACCAAGTTTGTGAATTCAAACCCAGAGGCCTCAACCTTTTGACACACCTAAAAAAGTATTACATTTATGTAAATTCCCAAGAATAGCTAAAAATTTTAAATTTCATAACATGAATTTCTAGTCTAGGAAAAGACACTGCAAAATTTCAAAACTCACACTTTGGGGCTGGGGATTTAGGTTGAGTGGTAGAGGACCTTTCCTAGCATGCACCAGGGCCTGGTTAAATGCTTAGCACCACAAAAGAAAAAAACATACATCTCTCTCTCTCTCTCTCTCTCTCTCTCTCTCTCTCTCTCTCTCACACACACACACACACACAGAGTGGGGAACTCTTATAAACCTTCTGAAATTAAATATTTGCTATCACCCTCAAGATAAGTGTCATAAAGTACCAAAACAGCCAGGAGTGACGCCTGCAGAACAATCCGATGAATGTCAAAATAGTTTTCTGTTAGGTCATCTCATAATTTTAAATATTTTCAAATAAAATAAAGCCAACTATAGTGCTCTTGACAGCAAGAAACAAAAGGCAACCCCACATCCAGTAATTAATCATTTTCAAGGCTGTAACACTTGTTTTTTCTAGGTAATGTTAGCTATGACTAAGAAAGAACTTTTCTCCAACTCCTGAACTATGTTAAAAGCAAAGGAAAACAAAATGCTATATTTTTCTTCAATTGAATATCACTAATGACTGAAAAATAAGGATATAAATTCCATTAATTTTCAAATATGTTGATGCAAAGGAATGTCAGAATAGCAGGCTTTTCTTTTTCTATTTTAATACCAGAGATTGAACCCAGGATGCTTACCCACTGAGCCACATTTTCAGCTCTTTTTATTATTTTGAGATAGGGTCTCACTAAGTAGCTTAGGGCTTGGCTAAGTTGCTGAGGCTGGCTTTGAACTTGCAATTCTCCTGCCTCAGCCTCCCAAAAGACAAGGGATTACAGGCCTATACCAGCAAGTATAGTAGGCTCTTCCAAAAAAAAAAATTTTTTTTAAATATTTTAGTGGTTCATTCATGTGAAACAAGTTAAAATAACAGCACCATTCCTTTCCATACAAGAATTCTAAGCTTAGGGGCTGGGGTTGTGGCTCAGCGGTAGAGCACTCGCCTAGCACGTGCTAGGCGCTGGGTTCAATCCTCAGCACCACATAACAATAAATAAAATAAAGATATTGTGACCAACTACAAAAAAAAAAAAAAAAAAAAAGAATTCTAAGCCTTAAAACTGAAAATCTACATAATTATCCCTATAATAAGAAACAAATCATTTACCTTTTTAATGAACTCTTTCTCACAGAATTCTTGAAGAATTCCTAGGCAAACATTGCATACATTTACATTTAAATTTGAGTTTGGGGAAGCAATGCTCCCATCTTCAATAACAGAGATCTTGTTCTCCCCATTTTGACTCGGATTATCAATCCCATCTTCCAGTTCTTGAAGCCGAATTTTCTTGAGAGGTGGGTTTGGAACTTCCAAAATTAATTCATCTTTTTCAGCTTTCAGAAATTTCTGTATATCATTAAGCAACTCCTGAAAAGTTAATAAAATAAAATAAAGGAATGACCCTTTTATGATGTCCTTAAGGAGTTCTGGATAAGATGAAGCAAGAAAACGTAAGTGAAAATTATAGCAGATCAAGTTATATAGATCAAATTATAGCAGTGTACATAGATTGTACACTGTTGATTTACATCAATTCTAAAGCAATTATTTTATTAACCAGCATTGGCTTTCTAAGGAATTTAAGAAAAACTTATATATAATTTATATATTTATATGTGTAAATATCAAGAGTCCCATATATCAGATAACCTAAAACCCTAAATCTTAGGCAAAAAGGCTCCATTAACAAATTTACTAATTTGGTCAGTAGTTCTTTCTTGTAAGAGTATTCACTACCTAATTTCAATAAAAACAAACTTGAATTCTAATTATTAATATTACATAAAAATACAAACAGAGCTGGGGATGTAGCTGAGTGGTAGAGTACCTCCTCAGCATGTAGAAGGCCCTAGGTTTGAATCCCAACACTTCATCTTCAAATAAAAAGAAGAAAATACAAAGTGAGTTTCCATCTTCCATAATCTCACAAACATGAAAACCTCACAAGTACAATATTTGTTTAATATGAAATTTGATCATTTAGACATAGAAGTCTATTAATTAAAAAAAAAAGAAGAACAATTTTGAGACAACTTACTAACAAAGGACAGAGATGCTGGCAGTGCTGAAATTAGGCACCATAATTTCAAACCATACGTAAACATTAATTGAAAGAAACCCTCTCTATATTCTGGTTTGCTTAATTTCGTGTATTAGAATGTAAAAACTAGCATTCCTTTTAAAATATTCTCATACTTCAGATAGTCTACTCATGTAAATAATCAGAGAATGTTTACTATTTCTTCATTAGGTTTTATTATTTAGTTGTTGAAGAATATCTTTCTGAAATTCATTCAGATTACACTACTGACTCTAAAGGGAAAAATCTTTCAAATTAATTGATTTCATTGCAACATTAGTTATTCTGTTTCAACATGGAAATACTCATATATACAGCACACATAAGTATATTATGACCCACAAAAATGTTTATTACTTACTATCTATAATGTCAGCATAACATAGTACATGTATATGTACACAGGCCTATATACCTATGAATGTAACAAATCAAAATTTAAAAACACTTAAAAATAGTTTTCAAATGTTTTGTATATTTACATAAAATGATATGAGCAAAAGTTGGCAACACTTGGTATCTTCATATAATATACATTGTGAATCTTATGACATGTATAATGTGTCTGAAAAAAATGTATACAGAAGGTTACCCAAAACCAGTCACCTTGTATATAAATGAATATATGCATATATATTGATCATCACAGAATATGTGCCACTTTCAGTTTTCAAAGTTTTTTCACATACTTTATTAGATATTGTCCCTTAATATCCTGTGAGGTAGATGTTATCATCATTCCCATTTACAGAAGAGTAAAGTGAAGCTGGAAAGCAGTGGAACTGGGATTCAAATCCATTTCTTCTAGCTCCAAATCCTAGGCTTTGGACTCTGACACAGACTGTTCAAATCCTAGCTTGCTCACTTAATAGCTGTGTAACTTTGGACAGGTTGTTTAACCTCTCTGTGCCTCAGTTTCTTCATCTGAAAATAGAGACAATCATAGTATGTACTTACCTAATAAGTTATTACTGGGATTACGTAAGAACTTGATATATAGTAATGCTAAGTGAATAATGAGCATTATATTTTCTAAAATAATAGGAACAACAAATATAGAAGAAAAATGAAGGTGATTGTTAATTGCTGGACAGGTTTTTAAATTTTAAGAAACTGAGGATGTATGTATATGAGTGTGTGTGTATATTTACACACATACTGTTACTATCTCCGAAAAGAATGTCAAAATATATTCGTCAAACATATTTCACAAACATATTTTATGTGAAAGTATCCCATTAAATGACAAAGTTCTGCTTATTACCATAAATGTCAAAGATCTCTACACATTACTTTTGTTGTAATTAATAGAATAATGATGACAACAAGCATTTACTTCTACAGTGTTCAAATACAGTCATACACCATAGAATGTTTCCATCAACAAAGGATTGCATATACAAATGATTGTCCCTGAAGACTGTGTTGCCTAGTGATATCATAGCCATCTTAGTTTGTAAGAGTATACTCTAAATATTTGTACAAGCACAAAATCACCTAAGGTCACATCTCTCAGAATGCATCCCCTTTGTTAGGCAATATAAGATTTCAGCTATTTAGAAATATGACTGGAAATATTGATAAAAGGCAAAAAAAAAATGCTTCCACTTAAGAGAAGTCTGAACTACAATCCTTTCATGTCACATCTTACTAATACCTGGTGAGAAGCAATATTTTGTGATATTATATTGAGATAACTTTTAGGAAAGGTGTACATAAACACTCAGTGTACCAGAGTATTCCTCCACAAAGATCCCTCTACACTAAATGTTAAATAATCACTCAAGAAGCAATTCCTAGGGAACAAAAATTCCTATAATTGCTTAAGAAAAAAATCCTAGACTAATTTTTAAGGTAATGACAAGTCCAAAATTATAATTATCAGTCGTTATTTTATTAGCAAATTTTTATTTAATGAAGAATTATGGATACTTTCCCTCAAAGGTATCGGCATTCCTTTTAAAATACAGAAAATCTTTCTTATCTTAAAAAAAATGGAAATACCTCATATGAATGTTTGTATGGTGCATGAAAATCCACGCCACAGAATCTGAAGATACATCTTGGACAGGTGCCAGTACCGAACAACAACTGAGCCACATGCTTATTTTCCTCAGTCAGTGGAAACATGCTTAATTATAACTGGAAAGAAAGAAAAGAAAAAATAACAAGCAGTTTCAGTATTTTACTGTCACAGACAAGTATGCTATCACCCTTAGAAATTAAAACTATTTTTTATGTGTTTTATGCTCTCCCTTTTCATTATATGTAAATTCTAAAATACTAACTTGAAGGAAATTTGTAAGATGGCAAGAAGCCCAATGTGATGGCTCTTGCCTAGTCCTAGCTACTGTAAAGGCTGAAAAAGGAGGATCCGTTGAGTTCATGAGTTCAAGGCCAGCCTGGGAAATATAGCAAGACCCCACGCAAAAAAAAAAAAAAAAAAAAAAAGGATCAAATATGTTTCTAATTGTCAAGAAATTTGGGGTTAGCATTCTGGATTATGATAAAGTGTGTCATTATAAGTAAGTCAATCAAAAAAAAACTAAGAATAACTGTTTCCTTTTTTTTTTTTTTTTTTTTTTATGCTTCTGGGGATTGAACTCAGGTCCTGGTGCATGCTAGGCAAGCACTCTACCACTGAGCTACATGCCCCACCACCACCACTCTTTTTATTTTGAGACAAGGTATCACCAAGTTACCAAGGCTAGCCTCTGACTTTAGATCCTCTTGCCTCAGCCTCCTGAGTCGCTGGGATTACAGGCATGTACCACTCAGTACTATTTGAGAACAAAGTAGCTAATTCATTAAACTTTTAAATTAAAAATGAGTTTGCTAGGAAAAAATTCAGATCAGTCTACATTATATATATTTGGCTACCCTTAATGATAGTTTAGCAATCAAGTATTAAGACAAATTGATCAGGATGTCCAAAAACATCAACTTTATTTTGATGCTATAACAGCTAAATGTCAACTAGTGGTCAGCAAAATGAAAACAAATTCCTCCTTTCATCCATAAGTAAAACCTCCAAGGGGTACCAAAAATGCAAAATTACCTAATCACTGTATGTTTGGTAAAAATAAATATGATTAGTGAATCAGTCTATATCACTTTTAAAATGATGAACTAGTTAGCAGGGCATGGTCACACACACCTGTACTCTCAGGGATTTGGGAGGCTGAGGTAGGAATATCCCAAGTTTGAAGCCAGCCTCAGCAATTTAGCAAGACTGTCTCAAAATAATAATAAAAAGAACCTAGATTGCAGCTCAGTAGTAAAGCACCCCTGGATTCAATCCACATACGCAGGGCTTTGCACATACCATGCAAGTGCTCTACCAATGCGCTATATTCCCAGCCCATGAACTAGTGATATTTTATGATATAATGAATTTATGGCAATGTGGAATGGTATAACTACGGTCATTTAGATAAGACCACAGTACCTTTTGATTTGTATAATTTTGTAGTTCAAATAAACTTGATAAAAATATGTAGGAGAATGAAGTACTTACCAACAACATACTATGGAGATACAAGACTTATAATTAGTGCGCTTTACAACCCTTTAAAACTCACTACTTATTTACAAGTCTCTAAATGTTTGTGGCTACTAATCAAGAGAAGTTGATTCTTAACATAAAATAACAAGGGAAACAGTTATATAATTCTGAAGATCTCTTCACTATAAAAAGCAGTTCAGCAGCCACATTACAAAAAACATATTGCTTCTGCATAGGTTCTAACTCATGAATATGTGAGTTTTCAGGAAGAAGACGAGAAGACAGGCTTGTCTGGACACATGATTGAAAACTTTCAGACATCAGGACTGGTAAATACTTATTCAGGGTTACCTAAGTAAATCTGAGCTCCAGGGTACTTTCAAGAAAGTACTTCAAATGTGGGGAGAACAGCCTCTTAAAAAAATGAAACTGTGGGGGCTGGGGTCGTGGCTCAAATGGTAGAGTACTGGCCTCGCATGTATGAGGCACTGGGTTCGAGGCACTGGGTTCAATCCTCAGCACCACATAAAAACAAATAAAATAAAGATATTGTATCCACCTAAAAATAAAAAATAAAAATAAAATTTTAAAAAAGAAACTGTGTAGTTAAATCAATATTCTTTACAAGGATCAGAATCCCTTACCCCAGCCCACTGAGTCTGTTTGATGCTAAGAAGGGACTGGGATTCTGTGAGGGCCTGAATATAAACATTTAAAGTGCATCCCTCAGGCTACCCTCACAGAGAAACTGTTTCTGTCTAACCCATTATTTTTTTTCTCCTCTTTTCCATTAATTCAAAAAGAGAAACAAATACACTTTCTTCAATAGGTGCTTTATAAAGACACGTCCTACTGAAGCTTTTCTTGGGCACTCACATAGCTACATTTAGATTTTTTCTCTCTCCTTTTGGCTTAAAGACTGAATGTTATTTCTCCAATAAGTTCACTTAGAATAAAGGTATCATGCTGTCAGCAAATGACACATTACGATCACCTGGCTCTAGAAGTTCCCAAACCTGTTTAGAATTACAAAACCTCCTGTCCTGAATAATTTGAAGTCTAAAAACGCTCAAGAAAAAAACTCGAGTATATGTTAATAATTAAGCTATGATTTACAAACCTCTTAACAACATTCTCATCTAGCAATATCTAACGACTTCTCGAGCCCATTAAAAGAAGGAAATATGCCTTAAATTTGGTTATTTCTTCTTAATATAATGAAATGATAGGATTTCAAAAGAAACCAGTTGTGCTATATTAGATTATTTTTGAAAACAAGCCCGGAAGAAAGCGTCTCACGCTGAAAGTTTTCCAGTATTAGTTGCCGGTGTTAGGATTCTTGCTTTTTGTTTACCTATTTGTTTTACAGGGAAAGGGGAAGGGGGAATAAAACCCCTCTGGAACAAGTTGCAACAGAACCGCCTCCCACGTGTCAGAATCCCTTCTCCACCAGCCAACCATAACCAGACCAGTCTCTAATTTAATAAAGAGACTTTCTTCTCATCTCTTGGACGATTACAAAAACCTTTTACCGAACAGGAGGGAAGGAACAGGATATGAGAAAACCTACCAAAATGATCAGACCTGTCTTACACCGCGAGATCTTTTAAAATTAGTTTCCATACACACAAATGTCACTCCTCTGTGGTGTGGGGATGCGGATTTCTAGGGAAGGAGGTGCTCAAGACTTCAGTGAGCAGCAGACAAACTCAGCTATGGACTCTAACTTGGGATACTGGAAATTTCACCCCCACGGTCCTGGAGTCTGTTTTGGCCAACTAAGCCCTTACCCTCTTCGCTCAGGTCCAAGAAACTTCCATTCACCCTTCCCAATAAAGCCACTCAAACGGTAGGGAAACGAGCCCTTCTAGGGACACCTCTCTAGCACCGGGTCCGCAGCCCCTCACCTCAGACCTCCCCGCCTTACCTTCTCCCAAGATCCTGGAGCCTAATATTTAACCCCTTCCGGCCCTCAGAGGGAACCGGGAAGACTAAAGACAACGCACCTATTGCGCTTTAGCAATTCTGTTCCCCGAGGAAACCAGAGCTTTAGAACGAAAGTACCAGGCCTCTCTGGAGAGGAATGAGTGAACTTCTCCCCCGTTTGTTTATAGGGAAATCTGCAACACTGCTGGCTTACAGCCTCACACCCTACCTCCCTCACTACTGCAAAAGTGCGTGGGACTTCACACCCAGCGGGAGAGGTCCAGTCCCAGAGAAGCTTTCGTGGGACTTTGCATCTAGAACAGTGTAGCCGCTACCAGAAATATCGATGAACACTTACTCCTCAATTTTAGAACAGAAACTCTTTGTAGGGTAAACAAAAAGATGGTGTTTCTTCCCATGATCTAGTGGTATCCGCCTGCCCTCTAGTCGCACCTGGCGAAGTACCACGAGCCTGCCCTGACTTGCAGGAGTGGGAGGGGCAGAGAGTTCGGCTTTCTGCCTATAATGCCTGACGCTCGAGGTGCTGGTGTACCAGGGCCTGCACAGTCCCGGTGCGGAGCGGGAGCCGAGCGGAGGGGGAGAGATGGCGTCTCAGCCTCCTCCTCCCCCGAAACCCTGGGAGACCCGCCGGATTCCAGGAGCTGGGCCGGGACCGGGACCCGGCCCCACTTTCCAGTGAGTGTGGGACTCTTTCGGGATCGAGCTTGGTGGGCCGGAGCGAGGATTGGGCTGGCGGCAGTTGAGGCCGTTATTAGGGGGAGATACCTCCCCACCGCCTTCTCCCGGCCTCCTACTTTGGGAGGGTGGAGGGGTAGAGTTAGGACCGGGGCGCTTCCGGAGAGGGTTTCGAGGTCTGACAGCTGTTTCCTATCCGACAGCAACCTTTTTCCTAGAGTTCTTCGGCGTCTCGCTGGGTGCCACAGCTTGTAAGAAAAGGGGGCGGCTTCCTGCCTTTTTGTTTTTGCAGGACGGGGGCTATACTGCTTGACCCCCTTTAAAGCGTCAGATTTTGGTACCGTAGCAGTTGAGAGCGGCGTTTGCGCAGCCCCCGCAACGATAGAGAGCAAAAGTCATTAGTGAAAAGCTATTTACAACCTCAGGAGAAGTTGGTGAAAGCCCAAAAGGTCACTTTTACGCAACTGGAATCCAACTTGGCGTTCTTTTCCAGCATAACTCAGCTAATGTTTCGAACTGAGATTTGGAGACAGAACTTTAAAGCAGGAATTCTAAATCTGTGGATGGTCTGGGCGTGGCCTTTCTGTACAGAAAGGTATTTTTCTAGGGCCTATAGGTTTTTGTTTTGTTTTGGTTTTAGTTACACCAAATCGGTCTGCAACTTTTAAAAAGTTGAAACATACAGAATTAGAAGTTTCACGATCGAATTTTTTTTTCTGCTGGGTAAATGGACATCTTAATTCGAGTGGCGTGATTCCTGTATACTCTTGTAGGTTGTCCTAACTCATACAAATCCCTAATGTATTGAAATGTGTTTATTCTATGTTCTGAAATCTTGTAATGTTTTATTTACACGCTAAAGTGCTTGAATACAATATCTAATGATAGATGCATAACAAGTAATAGCTTTAATTATTTCTGTTAAGTAAGGTCAACACTTTTGCCATATTTTTAATGAGTGATTCTTTTTTCTCATTTAGACTGCTTGTTGGAAGATACAGGTTTCATTTTTGCATGTTAAGGTTCTGTTGATATAAAATTAACGATTTCCCCTTTTTCTTTAATATGAAATGTTTTAAAAAACACAAAGACTGGTCAGGTGTAAGGTAATGCTTGTGTATTCACCACCCAGCCTTGAGAAGTGTTAATATTTGCCAGATTTTTAAAAATTTTTTTTAGTTGTAGATGGACACAATACCTTTATTTTATTTGTTTATTTTATGTGGTGCTTCACGCAGCCACAACCCCAGCCCTACCAGATTTTTTAAAAATAAAAGATAAACTATGCCATTCTTCTTTTCAATAGTAACTATTGTCTCTATTTTGTGTTTAGTGTATCGAAAAATGTTTTTAAACTTTAGTACTTAGGTTCATTTTATTTCATATATATGTGTACATATTATCATCTAAAGCTTAAAAACATATAAGCAGTAATATTTTTTTAAATGAAAATATTTTTTCATTTTATTTTTTCTGTTGTCTTTGTTTATCAGTTTGTGAGAGTACATCATTGTGTTTTGCTAATCTTTCAGTCTGTGGCTTGTCTTTATATTTGTGCTTACTTTTGTACAGATTTTTAATTTTAATATAGCCCAAATTGTCATATTGTTTGTGTTTTTGTCATAGATAAACCACTTCTACCTAGATTAGGAAACTTTTCTCTATATTTTCTTTGAAACGTTCTGATTTTCACATTCTGATCTTTAATCCACCTAGAACTGGCTTTGATGTACAGAAATCAGTGTAAAGTACGAAATCTGTTTTGTTTTGTTTTGTTTTTTTCCTATGTGCATAACTAATCACCCCAGCATTGTTTACTGGATATATTCCATCTTAGTTTATAATGCCATCTGTCTCATACCAGGTTTTCTAAACTGTGTAGTTCTTTGGGGGAAACTATCTTACTTGTTCTAGTGATCTATTTGTTCTTTTGCTAGCACTACACTGTCCTAATTAGAGCTTCATACACGCACATATGCACCAGGCTCCTGGTCTTAAGTCATTCTCCTTCCTCAGACTCCCAAGTAGCTGGGACTACCTGTGTGCCCGGCTGCAACTAACTAGTTTTAATATGTATTTATGTCAAGAGGCTCCACACATTGCTGTTCTTCAAAATTGCCTTAATTACACTTAATCTTCATGAAAAGACTTACTGGAAGTTTTCTTGAATTTATACATCAAATAAGTCTCTCCTTTATTGTGTGTGTAAGGTACAGTTGGTGAGAATTTTGTTCTTTTTTTTTTTTTGCCTTTATTAATGTCATAAAGATCTCCATGATGCCCTTTCTCTTATATTTTATTCCTAGATTTTATATGTGTGTATATATGTTGCTGTTGTAATGTGATCTTTTCTTTTATACTTTCCATTTGGTTATTAACTGGTGTGTCAGAGTACTAAATTTTTTTTTCTTTTTTTGGTATTGGGGATTGAACCCAGGGGCACTTTACACTAAGCTACATCCTCAGTCCTTTTTATTTTTATTTATTTTATCTTATAAATATATAGACAGGGTCTTGCTAAGTTGCTGAGGCTGGCCTTGAACTTGCAATACTCCTGCCTCAACCTCTCAAGTCACAGGGATTACAGGCATGCATCACCAAGCCCAGCTTGATATTTTTTAAGTATAAATATGAATAATGTCAAACTCTTTAATTCGTTTTAATGGTTTGGTTGAAATTGTCTCATTCCGTATAAATGATTCTGTTATTTACAGCTAAACCAAGAGTTAGCCAGCATTGTTGTATTGGTACTGACTTCCATTGGAATGGTTACATTTTGTTTTTGATAGATCCCTGTCTAGATTCTCACTACCTTACTCAGATTTTTTTAAATATTTTTTTTTGTAGTTTGTACACAATAACTTATTTATTTTTATGTGGTGCTGAGGATCGAACCCAGGGCCTTGCACATGCGAGGCGAGCGCTCTACCGCTGAGCCATAACTCCAGTCCCACTCAGATTTTTATTATGAAGAGTATTAAATTTTATGAATGCTTTTCTGTATCGGTTAAGATTATATGCATTTTTTAAATATAAAAATATTGCTTACTGTACTTACTTTCTAAAACTGAATTATCTTGCATTTTTGGATGAATTCTGATTAGTTGTTGTTTTATATGCAATCCTGAATTCTGTTATTTTAAGACTTTTGTATATATGTTTGTAGGTGAAATTGAAATATTGTTTCTTTGTACTACTCTAGTTTCATTTCAGAATCTTACAGCCTGAGAAATGTATTCCTAATTTGTCTTTTTTTTAATAGATAGATTATCTTCCCCTTTGTAGCTTTTAAGATTTCATATGCTAACTCTGACATTATTATGCTGTATTGGGTAATAATATATAGACATATTTTTTCCTCCTCTACAGTGTTTAATCTTATTCATGTTTTTCTTTAATTCAGGAAAATTCTCATAAGTTATATCTTTAAATATTGTTTAGGCACAGTTTTTCCCCCATTTATTCTCCCATTAGACACTTATATCAGAAATAGTTTCTGCTAAAAGTAACAATATCTTACTGTGCTTTGAACAATTAAAGACACTGTTTGGTTAGCAAGAAGCCTAGAGATCTGCTGTCTCAACATTGTCACCAAGGGAACTGAACTTTTCCTGGCTTCCTTCTTTTCTGTCTGCTTTTTCTTGCTCCTTTAAAAAGAACCCAACTCCCCCACCCCACCCCCGGCAGCTTTCAAGATTTTTCTGTTTTGGGTTTTCAATTATACTTTATTGGGTTTCGGTATGGTTTTTCTTTGTATTATTCTGAGTGGTATTCATAGGGACGCTTAAATCTGACTTTGATATTTTTCGTTAATTTGAGAGAAGTTTCACCCATTGTCCCTTCAAATATTGCTTCTGTCTATTCTCTCTTTACTCCTTTAAATCAAATTACATATATATACACCCTGTATTTCTTTATATACCTTGTAGGCTATTAAGCTAGTCACTGAGTTCATGTTTCAGAGGGTTTTTTTGTTTGAGTTAGGTTTGGTTTTGGGGAGTGTTGTGTGTGTGTGTATGTATATATGGTGTTTAGTTTTAGATCCATTTGATCTGGCTTTATGGTTTCTATTCTCTGCTGAAAAATCCCAATATTGTCAGTTTTTTTATTAAACAGTTGTTTAAAGTCTCTAATAACTCCATTTTCTAGATCTCCTATAGAGCTCTTTGTATTATCTGATAATTCTCTTCTAAAAAAAAAACATGATTTTATCATAATGTAGGCCCAATTATTTTTTAATGGGAGATGGACATCACATATAGATGGTTTTAAGTTATTGGAGGACTAGTAATAGTATCTTCCTTCAGAGATTTTTATTTTTGACCAGAATGGCTAGTCACTAGCAATCTAGAATTAATTTAATCCAATTAGGATTGAGCTGATTTGAAACTGGTTTTCTTACCAAGGCTAGTTTATTTTCTGTTAGCCTTTTCACCCTTACTTCAACCATATAGCCCTTTAAGGTCCCAGTCTGAAGTGTGAGAGTACTGTAGGTCTCCTCTTTTAGAGTTCTAAACTCTAGTTTATCCTCTTAACCCAGGGATTCTATCTGACACTGCCCAGTTTCTCATCCTATCAGCCATCTTCCTGAATTAGCCTTGGTCCCTGGAGAAACATCTCAAAATGTTGTTCTTTCTGGGTCTTTTCTTGTGGATCTTGACTCTAAAACTCCTCAGTGCCTGTTCACTAACACTTTAAACACACATTTTTCTTTTTCCTAGCTTTTCTACTTTTTTTCGGTTGTAGGGTTAGTCTAATTACCTAGACTACCATTACTTCAAGTGAAATTCCCAAATTCTATAATTCTACTCTACTCCTTACAACTTTGTTTTTATAGCAACTAAACTTTTTTCTTGTTTCATAGTTGCAAGATAGCTGCTGTTGCTGTGGATATCATGTCTTAGATTTTTTTTCATTATTAAGATGCTTTTAATTCATATGAGTTTTTTCACAGATGATATTGCTTGCAGTGTTTATCTCTGTGATATTTTTAAACATAT